TAATAAATTTCTTATGGGCTGCTTAACAAACTCTATCCAACAATTGTTATTATGATATGTTTGTTTAGATTATATTTTCGTTTTTTTTAATTTATTCACCGTCACCCCTACCTAAAAAGTATTAATTAATAATCTTATCACCTGATTAAATTTGTGTTAAAAAGATTTTTCATTTTTTAATGATTAAAGGTTTGAAGCAAGCTGCAAATCTATAGTGACACGATCAAGTGGGATTAATTAGTGCTATGGAAGATTAATGATCTAAAAACCGGAGTTACTTCGCTAGTACATAATCTTTTTTTTTTCAAAGGAGAGAAGAGACTCCCTTCGTACATAATCACTCAACTATTGAAAATTATATATTAAAGTATTTCTTCTTTATTTTGTCATAAAAAGTTACATGGTATGTAGTGGATATTTATGGACGCACTAGTTTAAGTTTAATTTTGGTATTAGTTTTAATTAATTACTATAGTACCTACGTAAGAAAGAAAGAAAAAGAAAAGATCAATATATATCACTTTGGGGGAAAAGATCATATATACAACTTGTCAAAGAATGATATATTTAACAAAGTCCAACTTACTTATCATTATATCAAAGTGATTGATGCCATGACATATTTTTTTGTCTCTAGAACAACGTCAATGTTTTTATATACTTTCTCCGACCATATCGTGTCAGAGTCGGAATTTTCACTAAAAAATAAAAAATGTAAAATATAATTCACAGAAAAGTCAAAGAATGTTAATATGTAATATATACATAAAATATTAATTTTACATAGTTATACAATATAATTTTTCGATAAAAGATATCAATTGACATCTCATAATGCGTCCAGATTATAGTGTCAACAATCAATATTAATAAGGATTATATTGTGTATCTCTTTGACCATATGGTATACATGTTGAGTGTAAAGGCTAAAGTGTAAACTCACATATATAATATAATGGTGATTATCTGTTAAATCAATATAAAAAACTGATAATTAAGCTTTAGCTATCATTATATAGTCAAAGCCGTTCTATAACAGTCAATCGTATTTTTTTAATTGATTTTTCATCATATGCTTTTTATAATAGCATTTTTCTACCAATCAAAAAAATATTGAGACAAACGACACCAATATAAAAAGGTTTGAAAATCTAAAATCTTATTATAGCTAAATACGTAAAAGATTCGGTACATGTCTTGAAATCTCTCGTTTTCACTTCAATTGACTTTGAGGGAGTAGAATATTTCACTATCCTACCTAATAATTAAACAAAAAAAAACGAACAATTTAATTAATACTAATACTACTATGTAATTTCAATTTGGCAGAGAAATATATTTATAAGAATTAATTAGAAATGTTAAAAAGTAGAGTGATGAATTAAAAATGCGTAAAATGAATGTTGAAATAAAATATAGTGATACCAATTCATATTAATTTCAATTGTTAAAGAAAAAACTTTTCTAATTCAACAACTTGCGAATTATATGATAACAATATAGTAATTAAATATAGTTATGTTTAATATTTTTAAAATTACTATTTGTAATTTCTACATACAATTTTTTTTAAAGAAATTATTTTCTTCATAAGACATGTCGTTGACTTTTAAGTACGAAGAGATTTTTTTAAAAGTACGGTACGATGACGTGGCGACATAGCCAACCAATGAGGAAGGAATAAATAATGCTTGAAGTCAACGCAATTGTCTGCTAAAATAGAGTCATATTTTTTAATAGAATAATAACAGACGTTAATTTATTCAAAAAAAAAAAAATTAAAAAAAAAAAGGATACGTACACGGTATTATTGTCATTTATCTTTTACTATAAAGTATAATTTTTCTTTAAAAAATAAATATTTACAAATATAAGTTGGAAATAGTCAAAAGGGATGGATTATATAGATAATTAGCAAATGTGATGATAAATGTGTATATCCTGTTTTATTAAATCTAACTAATACTAACTAAAGTCTTGTGGAGATCTAGAACTTCGACATCAATGCATCTATTCCTTATCTTCGTCTTAAGATAAATGTATTTAATTATGAACTATAGCGTGTATGAAAATTGATATTGTAATAAAAACAATATATCAGGTATATATAATCTTGTAAGTGGGGTCGATAGAAAATAATGTGTATGCAATTTTACTTCTATTTTGAAAATGTAACGAGGTTATTTTCTATGGACCTTCGGCTCAAGTAAATCATATTAAAATAAATATGAATAGAAAATACAATACTAAATTAGAAGTCATGTAAAAAATAATGGAGAAAAGAACAATATCAACAACATATAATATGATAAATCAGAGTAAAAAAAAAACATGTAATAATTAAATCGAAGATAGCAATTATTATACACAGTACCTTAGTTCTTTAACTTCCATATCCTCTTATTTATGGTCATGTTCAATAAGTTGCAGGTGTGTTGATCACATATCATTTCTAAGCACCTCTCCATAATAAATGTTCAACATCTTCTACTTCTCCTCAGACTTAACATAGCCAACTTTCACTCCTGGGGTGTATATATATATATATATATATATATAGCTATCACTATAAAAAAAAGTGTGAATTACATGGGAATTTTTCTGGGGATTAGTATGAAAATTCGCAGAAAACTTATTTTCCTTCAAATTTTCATACTAATTCTCGGGAAAATCCCCATGTTATTCACAATTTTCTTGTAGTGTATCCTTCACATGTCTAAACCATCACAAACTCGCCTCCTTCCCATTTTGTTCGCCACTGAGATCAGTACTCCTACTATGTCCCAAACATTTTCGTTTCTAATCTTCTTTGTTTTTACTATACTCACACAACATCTTAGTATTCTCATTTTCGCTACTTTCATCTTCTGAACCACTTAGCTCCAACCTACTTATACATATTAGTGTACATACGTACTAGCTAGTGTACTATTGTTAAAACTTATTATTGATAGTACGTACTATATTTTTGTATGTTATATGTGTGGAGGAAGAAATAGCATTAAATTAGAGACGGGGAAAACAGAAAATGGGAAGAAACAAAATAATATTGAGCTGTCTTTACAAAATATTGTGCCATCTTTTATTACGTCTGTTGAGTATTAATAGGAAGTAGACAAATATCTTTGTTGTTTTCACTATAAATCAATAGCCGTATACACTTTTGCTTCTACTACTTAATTAAAACCTGGCACTCTCCCCAAATACCTTTCAACTCACAATATAATGGTTTCATCGATACAATTTATGTGATGGTATTAGAAGAAAATATCAGTTTGTTATTTATTGTGTGAAAAATATTAATTTTACTCTTTGTTACTTTTTATGTTAAGTGGTTAAAATATAGTCTTTCGTTGTTAGAAGTTAGGATTGTTCAAGATAAACGTCTAAATCTATGTGACACTGACATTTTAATGAGATGAACACTACATGACATATCACGTCATCTTCCCGTTTACTTCTACCTCTAGCACCATCTTCTCCTCTACCACGCCCACAAATTCATCATTTTCGCATAGTAAAACACAAATTTGACATTTCTAAATATGTCACATTAAATAAAATTGAGAAGATATTATAGACCTTTTTTTGTTTAATTCCTTTTTGACAAACATTATCTTTCCTTTTGTGTGAACGTAAAAAAGAAATGTAAGTGTAGATAACGTATTAGTTGGATGTACATCATTTCCTAATAATTATTTTTGAGAAAAATGGGATTGCACCGCGTATGCGATGACAAAGGCGAAGTAAAAGGACAACAAATACCAATATATTGTCATGGTTATATCAGTATAAATAACTTGTATCGTAATATTTGTGTGATTATAAAAGCTTCTGCATAAAGATAAAATGATAATAGTAAAGTTTCCAAATTTAATAATATGTCACTTCAATATCTATTCTAATTTATATAATTTATTTTTATTTTTAATTATTCCAAAAAGAATGATACAATTTTATATTTTAACTTTTGACTTACCATTTTATCTTCGATGAAATGAAACTTGAAAGTATCTTCTTTTTCTTTGGTTCCTTGTGCCGATGTTTGGTACTCATATTTCTGAATCTAAATTTGGGGTGAAGAAGTCTCACATTGGATGTAAAACATTCTCTACCAAAGACTATATTATGTATCCAACGATGTTCGAATCTAAAATCTCTAGTTAAGAATGAAACAATATTTATCAATGATCATTCTATCACATTAATTCTTGTTAGTAATAGAAATGTTTATGCCTTATTTTCAACAATAATTCTTTTAAAAATTTATTTCTTAAACTCTGATCAAAATACATCATATAAGTATAAATAAAAAATATTCTTTTACAATAGATTTAATAAAAAAGTTACTTAATAATTTGATGGAAAGAGATCTCCTTTTTTTCTAAAAATTGATTTGTAGATCACCTATAATATATGGTGGTAGTTGACAGTGGCAGTGATCGAAGAATATATAGTAATAGTTGACGGCGGTGCTAGTTGTGATGACAGAGTTTGTTGATGGTAGAAATTGACTATAGTGGTGATGGTGGAGGTGACGATAACTACAGAAACAGAGGCGATGATGACAAATTGACAATGGATATAATCATAATGATGATGAAGAAGATAAGTGTGGTAGTAGCTGACAGTAGTAGTTAGCAACGGAGTGTTTATGATGACAGAGGGAATTGGTGGTAAACGGCGTGATGGTGGTTGGCAATGATAGTAGCGGTGATTATGAAGATAGAGGTGATTAGTGATTGTGACCGGTGATTATGAATTGAATAATGATAAATATAATCTATATAAAAATACTTGTTAATAATATTAAAACTCTATTATAGATCTTAATGATTTAAGATATATTCAAACTAACCGTATCAAAAGAATATGAAAAACCGACTGAAAGGGTGTGAAAAGGCAAAAACTAAATAAAACAAGAGAAGTAAGGCAAAAGAAATCCACAGAAAAACAAGGTAATACCACCACGTTGGAATTGCATGGTAACCGAATGTCAACTCTCTTCAAAAAAATTGACCTTTTCCCTTATTCTTAGCTTTCTAGAGAATCGCTTTGCTTCCTTTTTTCTCTCTCTGTCTCTCTCAATATAAAACCCCCCATTGTTATCACATATACTGTAATAAGCAATCCCCATTTTCACTAACTTCTCCTCAAAGAAAAAACACCAAGAATTCACCAACTACTAAAACCCCATTTACACCAATCAACAAATTTCAAAAACAGAGATAAAGAAATGAAGTTAGTTTGGTCTCCAGAAAAAGCATCTAAAGCTTATATCGATACTGTTAAATCCGTAAGTATATACATACAATTTCAACAAATTCCCAATCCCCTGTTTTTTCCCTTTTCCCCCTTTTGTTTTTATTCCAACAGTTGTTGATTTTCTTGATTTTTCGATACAGTGTGAGATATTTCAAGAATCGAGTGTAGCAGAGATGATATCGGCTATGGCTGCAGGATGGGATGCTCAGATGATTGTGGAAACATGGTCGAGAGGTGGGGTTATGGCTACAAGTATTGGATTGGCTGTGGCAAATCATCATACAGGTGGTAGGCATATATGTGTAGTACCAGATGAAGATTCAAGAACAGAGTATGTAGAAGCTATGGAAAAAGCTGGGATGTCGCCAGAAGTTGTGATCGGAGAACCGGAAGAAGCGATGGATGGGTTGATGGGGATTGATTTTTTGGTGGTGGATTGTAGAAGAAATGATTTCGGTAGAATTTTGGGAGTTGCTAAATTAGGACACAGAGGTGCAGTTTTGATTTGTAAAAATGCAAGTTCAAGAATTGCTTCTGATTTCCGGTGGCGGAGTGTTCTCGACGGGAAATCAAGAATTGTTCGGTCGGTTTTTCTGCCGGTAGGCAAAGGTCTGGATATTGCTCATGTCGGAGCCACCGTGAAAGGCGGCGGAAAAAAGGGTGGCTCCGGGAAGACAGAAAGTCGATGGATTAGACATTTTGATAGAGATTCAGGGGAAGAATTTGTGATACGCAAGTGATGAAGTCCAAAATTCAAAATTCTGTTATAGTATATTTTTTTTCTCTTGTTTAATTATTTTTCTTTTAGGTTTTTGTGTATATTATAGACGATACAAAATTAACCAGGTTCCTGTCTTGCCAATTTTGATATATGCTAGTGCTTATCTTTCGAGGTTCTGTCAAAAGCATTCACTCTACTTGTGAAATTAGACTTTTTGATATATGTCAATGCTTATATTTCGAAATTTTATCGAAAACAATCACTCTATTTTTATAACAATCACTCTATTTTTATGAAATTACACTTAGTTATTGCTAGTGCTTATCTTGGTGATGAAAATTGTATATAGGTGTCATAAATTTTTGGATTAAATAGCACACAGATTTCATAGTTGTTATAGAAATCAGAATTGACCAGATACAATAACTTCCGTTACGTTACTTATTCACGTCTTCGAGAAAGGCAAATAAACATTAAATGCTTCAACAATATTTAATGGTGTTCGATAATACTCTTACGTATTTTAGTTGTTTCTTTCCTATCACTATCTAACAAAAGAAAATACGATATGACTTGTGATGCATGGTGGAACTGCTCCACACTTAACTAGAAGTATCAAATTCGAGCCTTGGTAGGAAGAAAATCATGTTGAGAGCAGTACTCCCGAATAACCCTGCAGTGTGCGATCTAAATTTAGTTGGGCTCCAATGTTTCATTATTCCTTGTATAAGTGAATCATAAAAAATTACATACATGAAAACTAATGAACACATACAAAAAATTCAACAATTACTAAATATGAACACATAGTTATAGAAGTACAATGAGTTCCATGCTAAGAAATTTAAAGGCTGAATTCATAAAACAAAAATCCTGAACCAGCCTGTCACACACAAGACGTCGGACGTCGGAACATAAAGAAGACGGGTGGATGCATTATTCTTTTTGTGTGTGTGCGTGTAACTACAGAGGCAATACTCACCCAAGAACTAAGCTTACCTATCCAATATCAACATCTTCAGAAAGTGCAAAGATACTTTGCTCTCAGTAAATCCTCTCAGCTAAAGTTTAGGCTGGTTGACAATGTCTAGATTCTTTAAAGCTAACACAGTGTATAAGTTATATCAAGAAGCCGTCATCTGAAGGACCTACAGAGGATTCTGTACTAATTCCTCAAACATTTTTGTATCGTTTAAAAGCAGGATGAAGGAAATGATCAAAGTGCTGGGAGAATTTGATAGCAAAGTGCCTGTGTTAGACATCTTGAGCTCTTGGAATCAGTCATAACTATCTCTGCTTCTTCGCATAGCCTTCTTTTGTGACTGGGCCTTCTTATTGTCAAGTCGTTTGCGCTCCCCAATAGCAGCCCTTTTTAATAGGGAAATGAGATTGGTTATTCCAGAAAATTACAAGTTTGCATAAAATCACATAATTGGTATGTGTTGAGAATGCTTACAATTTCGTTATTCTTTTCACTTGCTCTTCAGATGGAGGTGGTGGTACATAAGAAGCAGCATCAATTATATCCTGTGATACTGAGACTAATGAGAAATTCATAATAGACCTGTATATGGAGGAACAAATTTACTCACTGAAACATCATCTGAACACTCAAAGATGAACTTCTACCATTCCAATTGATAGAAAGTGGGAACAGTCATATAATGAATGATCCATATGAGTACCTGTAATTTACTCAAAGCATCTTCGATGTTACCCCTGAAAAGAATCATAGCACGCAATCAGCTTTGTGGCCTTGAATAAGGTCTAAGCAAACAGAAAAGAATATAGGGAAGAGGCTCACTTCTGAGTTCTCGTCTTTGTTGAAGAGATCACAAGCTCTCCATCCTTATTTATCCGATTCTTCTCCTGTTTAGAATATTAAAAACTTAGCCCAAGTGTTAGGTGAGTTGAAACTTGCAGTAAAAAAAGATAACAATAATTATAATGCAAATTACGCACAAGCATTATGGCTTTTTCCAGTTATCAGATATGCGAATGTGTAGAACAAGCATCATTAATCAGTATACTTCAAATCTTCAATCACCTAATTATGGATCTAAAAGTGTACAGGGAAGTTATCAGCATATGGTAAAAAATAATTGCGACCAGTCCATAGCCAATTGAAACCATACATTTATGGAGAACAGTGGCAAAGTGTCCCTTCAAACCATCATGAAATCATGACAGATGAGGCACTTACTCCATAATACGCCATAAGCGTTCATGATGGTTAGCAAAGAGCTAGCGTGATGTATCTCTCCATACATAAAAACCTTTCTTGCAAGAGACGTGACAGGAAGAACCAAGAAACGGACTTTAACATTCTTGTACCAACTTAAATAATAGCTAGTTGGATGAAATGAAAACTGAGATACTACTTGATTAAGTCCACCGAGTTATCTTTCTAAAGAAAGCATAAACAGTAAAATACAGGTCTTCGCTCACCATTTGCAAAATCTTCTCTCTGACTCTGTCACTTAACCAATAAGCTTTTTCAACATTGAACCGCATATCCACCTTGGTATTTACTGTAAAGATAAAAATTTCTTGAAAAAGAAGGAAATGAAAACTTAGAAGGCAATCTTATCTTCTGAAACAAGCTGCACCAGACCTTTATTGACATTTTGACCTCCAGGACCTCCACTTCTTGCAAAGTTGACAGTCACGTGATCTGGACCAAACAATAGAACAAAGAAGAACACCACCAAAAGACTTAGCTTTTCCATTTTGTTCAATAAATACAAGACATCCTGATCAAAAAGCTGAATAATTAATCAGAAGCAACACTTCTTCCCTGTGAAAAACTAAATTGAATTGAACATAAAAGACGAGAACATGTAATGTACCAGAGATCAACCATTCTCATTTTTCTACACCCCCACCCCCTTGTGTCCTCTCATAAGAGTAAGTTACAAAGATCTTTTATAGGTCAGTATAAGAAACCTGGCCTTTCTTTTAGAAAATATGCATGAAAAAGAAAGGTTTTGATGAATATTAGATATTCCAAGTGGTTTTTGGCTTGTCACTGAGCAGAAGAGCCATATTAAGCAATTTCATACTGTAGCTGTTACAACTACTTCTGTCCTAAGAAGTTAAAAAGGAAATCCAGAATAAGTTTAAATTGGTAATAGTCGCTTTAGTCCTACTCTACCTGTGGAGCAAATTTGATTAGTATCCCCAGTCTTTGACATTGATGTTATGCAATACACATTCTTTTTTTTTCCTTTTTTAAATGAAGGTGGTGTCTGGGTCAGTTTATGCGCACCTCATCTATTCCACCGTGTACTTGCTTTTGTCCACCAATACAAGTATCTAGCAACTCTACTCACTAAGGCTTAGGCTATACATATTCTAGCAGTCTTTTTAATAGCAGTCCTAGTCCAAAGTATTTTAACATTTTTGGCTACTCTAGACAATTTTCCCTACTACCTACTGCTCTGTGCTTCACAGTTCACATACAAATTCCTCAAAATCTTTCTGGTGAAAATCACAAATAATTCTGAGACCAAGTAAACAAAGACTCTAGACCCCAACCCAAACCAAAAAAAAATAAAAATCACTGGAGAAGTGGCACTCTCAGCCCAACAAAAAACATTTGATGACACCGATTATAATCCAACTTCCAAGCTAACGCCCACTGACATCACTTGTAAGGTAATATATTCACACAGCTGATTTCTCGAATACCATTTCATATGCAATCAGTCAGTAAAACAAATTTCATTTGCTTAACTCTATGAAATTATCAAGTACCCCGACATGGAGATGGAAGTGAAAGGATATCAATTGATCAACTATGTCTTCATCGGGACAATCTCAATGTGAGAAGATACACCAACTAATTTTGAATTCCAAATCTGCTTCAAGGCTGTACCACTAAACTACAGTTACTGCATTTAAAAAATGGACCTTCATTTCCGACAGACCAAAACAAACTCTAAAACTTGCAAAAAATGTAAATTTTACAGGATAAGGAGGTGTTCCATACATTGCTATTCTAAGTCCCGAAAAAGTAAAGTTTTCAATTAATAAATTCCGGGCATTTTCTGTGGAAGTCAATGAAAATTGGAGATGGAAAAAGATGAGCTTCATATATAGAGGCAATTGAAATACCAAGAGTAATCTTAGGAATAGGATCGTTGCCCGCAGCTTGAGCTCGCTCCTTAGCTTCATGTAACAGCTGTTGAACCTGAGCAAGCCGCGCCGGAGACTTCTTTCCATCATCAGCACCACCATTGGACGACGCCGCACACCTAACCGGACTAAAAGAGACACTCCGTGATAAAATTCGATGACTCACAACAAGGTTCGTCGCCGGGAACGGTGCCGGCGAGATGTGGATGAAGCGAACAACATTTGGGAAGTGTATTGACGGACGGAAAATTCCCCGGACGAGAAAGCTTGTGGTAGTTCTGAATGATGCCATTTTCCGGTGCGAAAATTGAAGCCCAGTCTTAATAATGGTTAGTATTAGAAGCCCATGATCTAATTGTGAAATATGTTGTTTTTTGGTGGCCCACTTGGAGACTAACTATGAAGACGTTTTTCATTCAGGAGTATATAGTATATATATAATTATAATAATACATAGAAAAATAATCAATTTGCAAATAGAGAGGATAACTGATTTTGGACCTTGAATACTCAGATCGTAAAAGTTACTCGAAATGTCATTTTGGTTTAAAAGTTGATTCACACCAAGGGAATGAAAATGAACTTTATTGGACTCTACACAAGAAGAGAGACCCGAAGGATGAGCTTATAACCCAAAGGGAGAGCTTATAGCATCAAAAAGCAATCTAGACAAAATTACTACAAAAATGACTAATTTATCCCAAAATAATTATCAATTTAAAAATCTAAGACAAGCTTGATTATTGTTTTCTATTATACTTTTAAAACACTGACGAAGAAAAATATATTTAAGAGAAAAAACGATCAATCTACTTAATAAACGTATAATAGCCTTTTTTTAGTTGTTTGGAAGTTGATATACTGGAAGTCTATTTGTGTGCAAGTATTCATCCAGAAGACTCAACTTCTCCTTATACATCATTTTCACAGAATAAAGCATGCAGATGCCTCGCAATTCTATAATCAAACGTGCAAGACGCAGAATACCCTGCAAAACATATTCAACTAACCAAAATTATAAGGTACTAGTAATATTATGCGACTGTTCAAACATCCCAGACCATTCTCTCTCATACCA